CTGTGCTGCAGGGGGAACGTTTCCCCGCCTCTCCGACTTTCAGGGATTCATACAGGGTCACACAGAAAGTCTGCAAAAGAGCTGGGAACAGAACTCTGCTGGAGACAGAACCCCGTCCTTCGAGACCCTCGCAGGGGGAGCCCTTCTCCTGCCCGAGCACCGTCACCAGTCTGTTTTGGAGAGAAATGTGGGGGCCTCATTTCTCAAACGACAAGATGTGTTAATCCCCACGTGCAGCGAGGCGCAGGGGCTGTTCTTTCCTGGGCTAGGTTGTGTTGCTGCAGAAGCCAGAGTACCGCGGGGGAACTAATAATACACCATTCCCAAATATGGCATTGTGTACGTTTCCACTGGTGCTGTTGGAGCAATCCGTATTTTGGAAAAAAAAAAAAAAAAGACTGCTTCCCAAACGTTCAAAACAGATTCTTCATGCTTCGCTTTCTGATACGCAGGCATGAAAATAGCCACTGGACATCATGTCCTTTCCTAAAAAGACAGTACCAAGATGCGGAGGCGTAAATGCAACAGCCATAAATTAAGGTATCAGCTAAGAGCCGTGGTCCTTTTCCAAGTGTGGCTATTTCCAGCAATGCCGGTTTTGATCTGTTCTGGGGTCTCCAGCTAGCTGTGAGGGCCTGGGAAGAGTCAAGCTAACGATGTGGCTGGGTGGAGTCATGCGTGGGCTTGGTGGCTTGGAGTGGGGAGCGCTCCCTCAAACAGTACGCAACCCCCTTTCGCAGCACCTCCCCCGCCAGCTGTTGTGCAGTCTGTCCAGCTCGTGAGCTTTCATTGCTCACTGGTGGGAATTTTTCTTGTTGTCATCTTAGAAGGTGGCGTTAGTGGGGGTGGGAGGCTGGGAGTGGGAATCTGACCCGGTTACTACTAGCAAGTGGACAGGCTCCTCCCCCTTTGCTCTTGTTTCTGTTGGGTGGGCTGGGAGGGTTTTTGGGAAGGGGTAGCTGGACGATGGGGAGGGGTAGGCGGGTTTGGTTAAAAAGCACTTCGCAAAATGCGCCGTTGGGATTTCGGCTGTCCGTCCGTCTGTCACCCCTATGGCTGGTTGGCTTGTAAGCTCTTCAGGGCACAGACCGCTTCTTAGTCTGTGTTGTGCAGGGCCCAGCGCAGTGGGAGGGGCGCGATGCTGCGTTGTGGGCACGCTGGGGTTGAGTCAGGAGGGAACTCATTGTAACTGCCTTGGATTGCTCCATGCGTACTGTGCTGGGAGGGGAATGAAATCTACATTCTCTCTTTCCCCAGGGCCTGGGGAATTAGCACCCAGGAACGAAAGGCCTCCCTGACATGGTACCGATGGCTCTGAATACTGAACTGGAGGGGCATGAGCCCTCTGAGTGGAGGGGGCTCGTTGCCCATGGTAACAGGGCTAGCAAAGGGAGAGGGCTGGGGAGAGCTGGCCCTGCCCTAGCGTGAAGCCCAGCAGAGAGATGCTGGGAAGCAGCTGATCAGCACCTCATGATTGGCCCACACACTCAGCTGGCCAATATAAAGGGGGAAAATCAGGAGAGAGGAGCTGGTAACCACTGCAGGCAGA